ACTTTAAACCGCATAAACACATTTCATTACACCAAATACACAAAATAATGTTCTTTTTAGCATCATCATATGACCCCTTTAAGGGCCAATTAAAAATTTATAAGGATCTGCAATGTAATACAAGGCAAAATGTAAGAGAGATATAAGACTTATCACAGATATACAGTAAGTGTTAAGAATGATTTTGAAGAAAATGTAAAATCAGAAATGAAATAAATCCATATGACGTCATGTGGAGTATTCCTCTTTTTGCACTATCAAACTGTAAGGAACATCAGAATATAATGAATAAAATCACGATGTGGCTTCACCTTTTTTTTTTCCTTGGGAAATCGAGACTGGCTCATGAATGATGTATAATCATATGTCATACCAAAAAGACCAGCACTGTCATGGGCTGTTCCTTGTGAGACTAAAACCAGCAACCAGCAACAGCAAGTGGTTGCCAACCCTGACCTTTACTCACTGCACTTTACCACCATATAAATACAGTAAATAGATGGATAGACAGACAGATAGATAGATGGATGGAATCAGGTCTCACCTGCTTTGACACGGATGCTAGGGCTGCGGATCTTGCCGGCCTGGTTCTCGGCAGTGCAGAAGTAGTCATTATCATGAATGAAGCTGTTGAAGGCAGAGGGGGAGAAGGGGTAGAGCTGCAGCGTGCCATTGGCGTGAACATGGCGGATGTGTGGCACGTCGTAGATGTCGTCGCCGGTGGCCAGGTACCAGCGGAGGACGGCATGGGGGGCGCCACCCGCAGGACAGGGCAGGGACACCCCCACTGAGCTGGAGAAGGTCACTCTCTGCAGGGAAGCATTCACAAAGTACAGCCGCGTTGAGACCACATCCTCGCTGTGCACTGGAAGAGAGACAACATGGTCAGTCGCGAAGTGACCAAAGAGTTTTATTCTTCAAATAACACACCTGGACAGGTAAAGGGGCCAATGCATACTTGTTCCTTTGGGTTACTGTACTTTGAAATCATAAAAGAAGCACTGAGTGTCATTCTGGCAAACTTCCACCTCACATTCACATCTGGTAAAGTGCACGCCATGCACTGATTTGATTATCCCAGAGACATTCCCACTGGGTCAGCACAACTCAATTCAAATTTAGAAATCAATCACTTGTTTGCGAAGATGATGTAACCCCAAATTGTCTTTTATCTTATTATCTGTCTGTCATTTTCCAAGTGCACAATCTGCATGGAAAAGCTAAGGTCAGCTTGTCACTACTGTAGCTAGTCACAATAGTTTCCCAAAGTTGCACTTACTTTGTCACACATTCGGCGTTCTGAACAAGTTGGTTCGACATATTTGATGATGTCACAAGACTCACAACTGATACTTAATTATGATGAATCGTTGGTGAATTTAACTACTCCAATGTTTTAAAAAAAAACATTGCAAGAATTAGATGTTTTGTTTCCAGTCAAGACTTGTTCATGCCTTTATCACCAGCAGGGTAGACTATTGTAATGGTCTCCTCACCGGCCTTCCCAAGAAGACCATTAGACAGCTGCAGCTCATACAGAACGCTGCTGCCAGGATTCTGACTAGAACAAGAAAATCTGAGCATATCACACCAGTCCTCAGGTCCTTACACTGGCTTCCAGTTACATTTAGGATTGATTTTAAAGTACTTTTACTAGTTTATAAATCACTCAATGGCCTAGGACCTAAATACATAGCAGATATGTTCACTGAATATAAACCTAACAGACCACTCAGATCATTAGGATCGAGTCAGTTAGAAATACCAAGGGTTCACACAAAACAACGGGAGTCCGCGTTTAGTTATTATGCCACCCGCAGTTGGAATCAGCTTCTAGAAGAGATCAGATGTGCTAAAACATTAGTCACATTTAAATCTAGACTCAAAACTCATCTGTTTAGCTGTGCATTTATTGAATGAGCACTGTGCGATGTCCGAACTGATTGCACTGTATTTTATGTATTGCACTGTATTTTATGCAACCCAAAATGATTGCACTGTATTTTATGTATAATCATTTTCTAAATCATTTTAAATTCCTTGTTTTATTTTTGTGATTATTTTTTATGATTATTTTACTTTCTTTTATGTAAAGCACTTTGAATTACCATTGTGTACGAAATGTGCTATAAATAAACTTGCCTTGCCTTGCCTACTATAGCTAGTCACAACTGTTTCCCAAAGTCGTAGTTACTTTGTTGCATGTCCATCGTTCGGAACAAGTTGGTTCGACATATTTGATGTTGATGTCATGGCTGATGTCACGACTGATGCTTAACTACCATAGTATGATGCATTGTTGGAGAAATTAACTACTGTAACAGTTATTTTGTTATTTAAGAAACAGTTATTTTGTTACATGTCTATCATTCGAAAAAGTTGGTTCAACATAATTTTACTTTATTGCAACATATTTAATGTTGATGTCATAACTGGCATTACTACTGATACTTAACTACCACAGGTTGATGCATCATAGGATAAATTAACTACTCTAGTTAGTCATAACTGTTTCCCAAAGTTGCAGTTACTTTGTCGCATGTCCATCATTTGGAAAAAGTTGGTTCAACATATTTGTATTTTGCCACAAGTCCGTCATTTGAACCACATTGGTTCAACATATTTAATGTTGACATTACAACTGACATCATGACTGATACTTAACTATCACAGTATGATACATCATTGGAGAAATTAACTACTGTAGCTAGTCATAACCAGTGTTGGGGAAAGTTACTTTGAAAAATAATGCATTACAATATTGCGTTACTCCATAAAAAAGTAACTAATTACGTTACTTAGTTACCTTTTATGGAAAGTAATGCGTAACGTTACTTCTGCGTTATTTTTTAAAACTGGACAGGGCTTGTTTGTTTGTTTTTAAAATAAAAAAGTTTTTTTTTGGCAAATATAAAAGCCTTTTCACACCAAAAGTGAAATGAATATGCCTCAGGCTGAAGGGAAAGTAAATTTACATCCGTACAGTAGAATGCAGAAGAAGACATTTCAACACACATCAGCAATAAAAAAAGACACGAGTAATTTTTGCTTATTAGTACGGCTGAACTGGATCATCGAAGGTCAGAAGCAAAGACATTGCTGGATATTTGTGTTGTTTAACATTTAATTATTGCAGGTTTGCGTCATATTCTGAGTTGCATTATTTTTATTCATTTTGGGGAATACTGAATCTGTGTTTTTTTTTTTTGTGAGAGATGAATTAATGCATATTCATATTTATTTTAGAACTACAGTAACATCTGATTTCTCTCAACATGGGGACAGGAGAGCTGTCAATCAATAAATTGAAAAAAAAAGTAACTTGCGTTACTTATTTGAAAAAGTAACTCAGATATTCTCTTGTAAATTAAAAAGTAATGCGTTACTTTACTAGTTACTTGAAAAAAAGTAATCTGATTATGTAACTCGCGTTACTTGTAATGCGTTACCCCCAACACTGGCCATAACTGTTTCCCAAAGCCACAGTTACTTTGTCGCACGTTCGTTGTTTGGAACAAGTTGGTTCGAACTTTTAATATTTGAACTTTGTCACACATCTGTTGTACGAACCACGTTGGTTCATAATATTTGTTACAGTTTGCGTCAAACAGGTGGTAGAGTAATAACTTATGCTAATTAGTCGGTGCGAGAATTAAATAATAGCTGTATCATTTCGAAGGCTGTGCCCTCTAGAGGTTGCATTTCTTGGCTGTATTTTTAGCCAACTATGGTTGCAAGTTCTGTCAACTTGTAATGCGTTACCCCCAACACTGGCCATAACTGTTTCACAAAGCCACAGTTACTTTGTCGCACGTTCGTTGTTTGGAACAAGTTGGTTCGAACTTTTGATATTTGAACTTTGTCACACATCTGTTGTACGAACCACGTTGGTTCATAATATTTGTTACAGTTTGCGTCAAACAGGTGGTAGAGTAATAACTTATGCTAATTAGTCGGTGCGAGAATTAAATAATAGCTGTATCATTTCGAAGGCTGTGCCCTCTAGAGGTTGCATTTCTTGGCTGTATTTTTAGCCAACTATGGTTGCAAGTTCTGTCATTAGCACATTCGCACTCTTGAAAAACTGTGTTGACATTCTTTTGATAAACTTAAAGATGTAGAATAAATCTATACCACAGGTCGAGAGCTGTAGTTCCAACCAGACAATTATTTGATAATGTTTGCGAATGTTAATTGGAACTATGGTTTCAGAAAACACCAAATCATTGAACTATGTTGCTAACAATGGAACTTGCAACCATAGTTGGCTACGGATGCTTTTGGGAAGAATACCCAAGATTCTTAAGCATCTTAGTCAGGTTAGACGCCATACTAAATTTAATGCGGAGGTAAATAAGGCTGTGAAGGACAGACTTGCAGTGTTTGCAATGGCACACACTGTATAAAAGTCCTCACAAGTTTTTTTTTTTTTTTTCTCTCTTTCGTCAGCTGAGCAATCTATATGTTGTAAACAACAGTACAATCCATTTAATGCAGTGTACTTCTAGCCCCTCGTCTCGTTCTAACTTCTAGTCTCGTTTTCATTCATGTCAAAAATTTTATATGTCACTACCCTGACTAAGGTATATAGAATGTTAAGATGACTCCTTGTAAAACAGAAAATGCTGCAATTTCCACAAACGCAAACAAAGAAGTAAATGAGCAAAGCCAGATGCAGGAATCAGCAAGGCTTCCAAATAAAAGCCAACTTTGTCCACAGCAAGAGTGGATCTTTACTCGCCATTCACATCTTTTTATATGTATGTTCTTGGCAGATGCTTATAAATCTCTCGATAACTGCACAGTTGTAGGGCAGGCATTAAAGAATATCACTAATCTAATATGTGTGCGGTGTGAGCCGTGCTGAATGCTGCCATCTGATAGGAGAATAAATAGGTCATAGAACCCCCGCTATGTATCTACAAACCTCTCTGACAGCTAATGTGGATCAGACAATCATTCCCTCTTGGTGTATTACCAAATCCAGACTACTGTGAGAAAAGGGAAAAAAAAAGTGGTGGTTTGCGTAAATTAATACACGTGCTAATTTAGCAGCATAGCTAATGATGTCCTTCAAAGGCAGCGTTTTAGCGATTTACCATTCTGGCATCTCTATTATCTGCAGGCTCTATTACGGATTACATGGTTTGGGTGTGATGACTCTGTGTCTTTTTTGTATTCAGAGAATTGCTTAGCTCAGCTCTGGCTCCGAGCCAAGGGAGACACAAGCCCAAAGCAAGATCATTTTCTTCTAAGGCAATTACATTTAATTAATGCCCCCCACCTGGTTTATGTCAACAATGCCTGGATTAACCCCCATTCTTGTGATTCTCATTGTGTTCGAAAGAATAATGGTGACATGCTACCATGGCATTAAAGTCAGTGGGGTACCTATAAACTTCTATATACTGATCGGACAGCATCACAATGTATAAACATAAATATGAATTGGAATTTATACCCAATAACATTGAATATTAAAGGAACAGTTCAGCTAAAAATGAAAATGCTGCTTGTTTTAAAGCAATGAAAGTCCCCATTCACTTTCATTGTAAGGAAAAAAGCAGCTTGGACATTCTATACAATACCTTCTTTTGTGCGCCATGCAAAACAGTAGTTTAAATGGGTTTTGAAAGACACAGGATGTGTGTACATGATGATATTCTATTAATTTAATGATACTAATAATGTTATTCTTACTTTTGACAGTTATAGGCTACTCAATTTAAAGGCTTACAAAGGACAATAATAATATTTATTTTAGTGGGAAAAAATCATGCAAAATGTAAAACATAAATACATGTAAAACATATAATGAAAAACAAGAAAACAGTGATGCTAGAAAATTGAAAGGCTGAGATTAGA